AGAGTAAAAAAAAAAAAATATATATATATATTTCTGATTTAAAAGAAAAGATAACGCAATATTCTGGCATTCATCGTAGCTTTATATATAACAGTTACATCAGCTGATATGCAATTCAAATTTTTAATATTTTAGTTTGTCAAGTATAATATTTTCAATTAAACAAGCTTAATTATTTTAACTATAGAGATTAAAGGATCAGATTAAAGAGGATTTAGAGTTGGAAGATGGTATGTGAGGAAAGATTATGAGAGGATAGGAAAAGAGATAGAAGCCTCTAACTTGACCCAATTATATGTTGGACCAGAATAAAGGAGAAGATGATGATGAAGATGATAAGAAGAAAAGCAGAAAAGGAAGAGAGAAAGAAGTAGAAGGAGAAAAAAATTATTTTAACTAGGAATATTTTTTAATTAAAAAAAGAATTTAATGTTCAACACGGTAGCTTTGATCGAGAAAAAACGGAAGTAGAGAAAAGAAAATCAGAATTAAAATTAAAAGAAAAAGAAGTCAGTGNTTTATTTGTTTAATGATTAATAATGATGCTATAATAATGATTAATTCACTAATGTAAAGTTTTCTTTATTCATTTTATCGAGTAATTAATGGTATCGTCTTACTTTTAGCATTTATGCTAAGTTAAACTTAAGGACTTTTAAAATTTATTATAAATATATTTTTATTTTTAATTTATTAAATTAAAATGTTACATATTTCTTATTTAAAGAAAGGAAATATTTTATGCAAATCTTTCTTTTAGAATTAAGTTTCTTTATATATATTTTCCAAATTATCCGAGGCAATATGGACCGATGCTACCTCGAATAAAACGAACCTTTTTTAATTAAAAATTACGAATATAAAAAATGTATATGATACACTATATCATTTGTAAGCCTCATTTATAGGAACAACAATTATACATCATTTATTATACAGTTAATACGTATAAAAAATGTATGTTATTGAAGTTGCATTTTAATGTGAATGATTTATCTCACATTGAAGCCAAATGATAAAAATTAACAGAAACAAATCATTTTGCAACTCACGTTACCGTTTTAAACTTTCATTTATAAATTTTAACTATGTAAATATACAGAATATAAGACCATATTTAATTTTGTGCTTCAAGCAATAACATATAAGAGGCCAACCCCTTTGCAAAATAGTAAATTTAAAAGTACAAGGCGCTATGTGAGGCCCTAAGGTGTAGAATGTTTAGTTTATGTGTTTATTCAGCCGTGATAAAATATATTTGCAATCATCTTCATATCTTTATATATATGAATTTAAAATAAATTAAAAAAACAATTGATTAAAAATATAATTTTAACAAATAGATTATACATTAAATTAAAAAAATCAATAAAGGCATTCTTCATAATTCTATTGATTTAATGTTTGTATTATTATTTATATAAATTTAATAAAATATTTTAAAGGAATTAAATCACAAATCCCAGAACCTACATAAATTTACATGATATAAAATTTAAAATGCATCAAACAAATTATTATGACATATTTTTTAATACTTTTTTTTTAGAGCAATGAGAAGGTTGGATATACAATACGTAAGATATCGAATGGAGACCATGTCTTTCCTAACGAACTCGATCGATATTCTTTTGGTTCGGATTTATTCAATTTGATGTCTAATGTCTGGGTTAAGAATATTTAACTAGATTTACTATAAATATTGAAGTTCGATTTATTACTACAATCGTCTAAAAATTCTAACACGAGATCGATAAGGATATAACCATTATTGGGTTTATCTTCCTCCTCTTCCTCCCTCTCTTACTTCGTAAACACACGTTGTAAACATAAAATAAATGGTAAATAAATCTTTCAATTATAATTCTTCGCGTTAATAAATGTTATAAAATATTTGTATCATTATATTTTATTAAATAAATCGATTTTTTTTTATCGTTAAAAATATTAAAAATTTAATGAAATAGAAATTTTTATGTTTTTGACTTAAATTTCGATTTATATATAGTGTTTTTCCAATTGTTTAACATCCATTTTTAGTCTTTATTGGGTAGTTGTTGACAGTAATTGATAATTGACTGCTTGAGCAATTCATTTTCAATTTATAACCATACTTATTATAGATCTGTCTAGCAGTAAATGGTTCGAGCAGCTTTATCTGTAGACTAATTCTATGTATACACATAGAGAGAGACAGAACTATAATCCTACAATTAATGATGTTTACTGATGATGATAAATATAAAACAAGGGATACAGTCTGTAAATTAGTCCATTCACACGAAGCTCAATTATTAAGCAAAACCCAGAATTTTACATAACGCTCCAGCATTTATTGTCTTCCAAGATGCTAAAAGAAATCGTTCAATTTAAAAATTTAAAGATTAAGATTTATAAATGAATACAGAATTTTTATTTAAAATTTTGATTTAGTTTTATATCAGAAATCTTATTCTAGTATTTTTAAATTAAAAAATTCCTTTAAAACATTCTGGAAATTCTTTTGCGATTGCGATCTATTGATTGAGAAGCGCAAATTTAGTTTATTACATCATAAATTTAGTCAAATTTATTTATATTATTTCTTTTCAATACGCATTTGAATTAATAGTGAGATTAATTGTTTAAACTTTATATAATTTTGCTTAAGTTTACTTATCAAACTTTATCGAGGAAGATGCTCTTAAGTTATAAACCAAACTAAATATTCATTCAATATTTTTTTTTTTAGATAATATGCTATACATTTCACCTTCAACAACATTATCAAATCGAAGAGATTATTATCCTGAAACCACTCAGAAATCCTGAAAAATTTAACAGATTCGCTAAAAGTAATTTTGTTTTCTAGATAAAAGCATTTAGATGACACCCAGTAGTATCTTTTACTGTCTTAAAAGTTTATTCTTCACAACTTTAAACGTATAAAACTAGAAAGAAAGACATTATATATATATATATATATTAAATACAGACGTTTAGATGCCAATGATATCGCGGTTACACTTTAGAAAAATTTCATAGAAAAAGAGATTAAACGGTTAAGTTCACTACAGAAATATATCAATAAATCAATACACAGATCAGATATAAAATCGGATTTTCGTATGCAATCCAAAACGATTTTCTTTTCTTGAACATGGCAAACCTTCTGGTTATATCAAGCTCTTGTCTAGCAGTTTGTATAGTATCTACATTTACTCCCAAGTTTTTCTTGATAGAAAAGGAGGAAAGAAAAAAAAAAAGGAGTAGGAAACTATCTGACGATTTGTATTCTTCTCTCGACTCTCTTAACTTGAGAAATGCAGGAATGAATCGTTACAAAAACAGGAAAAAGTAATACGTCTTCTGCAAAACGGTAATTTATAGCTAAATCCGATTTGAGAAATTTTTATGAGTAAGATTTAGTGGCATTTAATTCGAACGGTGAAAGCACTTGTTATATTTTATGCTATATAAATTGAAATGTTCTTGCTTTATTTTTTTTATCTATCATAAAATTTTCTGAATAATAAAATAATGTATAGATTATAATCTATATGCAAATCGTAATGGGTAATGTAATATACTAGGGCATTGTAAAAGCAATAAGTTAATGAAGATTTTTTCGTATTATGTTTTATTCAGCATTTTTCCATTAATAATAATTATTTTTTAATTTTTTTTTCGTGTTGATTTTCAGAGTAACACGATAAAATTTCCTGATAGTTTAATTTTAAAAAAATGAATTATTTTTCTTAAATTATCATGAGGAAAAAATGCATTTCTTTTATTAAATTTCAAGAAAAATATGTTTTTCTTAAATGATCAAAAGGAAACGTATTAATTTTGTTAAATTATTAGATAAAATCGTTATTTTTTGGTAAACCAGTAGCAGAAACACGTTACTTGTTGTTAAATTCACCGAAAAAATGTATTTTTTTTGTCAAACTACCGTAAAAAATTCATCACTTTTAATTAGAAAAATGCAGTATTTTTATTAAATTGTTAGAAAAAATATATTGTTTTTTTGTTAAATTATCAGGAAATTTTATTATACGAAATATTAAGCAGAAAATTTACATTTTAATCTTGCAGCGAATACGTCTCATCGGTTCGTATATGAAAGACAATACATTCAAAAAATCGAAATGTCTTCAATTTTATGCTGCTAGTTTCGATGACACTAAGATGAATATCTTATATTTTGCAGAGGAAAGTGCTCTTTTCAAAAAGAAATTGAGATTTATTATAAGCAATTCGAAGCAAAGAAAATTTCAACATTGAAGAAATGCTAACATATTGTAACAACTGAATATAAAAATGATAAAAATTGAATAAACTACTTTATACATCGAAATGAACTTAAGATGATGATTTATAAATTTAAGAAAACTTTTAAGAGAAAGGAAAGGTGGTACGAATCGATAAAAAAGAAAAGAAGAAAAAAAAGGGAAGAAAAACAAGAAAAAAATTAGTTTTCTTCGCACTTAGAAGTCTCATACTGAATCATATTTTAAAGATTATCTCTACAGAAAACAAAAAATAAACTATAAAATTTTAAAAACTGTAGAAAAAAAAACACATTAAATTCTACTATATAAATGAATGGAAAGGGTAAACTATTTTTTCTTAAAAAAATTTCAAAATTCTGTAATGAATTCTTAGATAAAAGCATACTAATGATGAAATTTATCATCATTACACTCAAATTTAAATAATAATATTAAAAAAAGGGAAAAGATTATTGGTGTGTTTTTTAATGCCAGATTGTTTCCTAAAAGGAAATCATCCGGAAACATTTTTTTTATTTTTTTAAAGGAATATTGATAGACATTAAAATGGATGAAAAATATCACCTTTTAGTTAAGTTGGGGTGTAGTTCTGTTCATTGTGTTATTCTTTATCATTTTGGCATCAATCCAGAATATAATTTAACCTTGTTTTCACCTGCAGTAATGCTTTATCGTATTGACAAAGCTGTTGAAAATCGTGCAACCAACTAGTTGATCCGATTGCGATTAATGGGAGAAGACAAATAAAGTTCGAACGTACTTTAAAAAAAAAAAGATTTACACTAAATGAAACTTAATTATCTTACTTAACTTAGTGCCAATAGGTTTGTTAAAATTCCAATTTTATTATTATAATTTTCTCCATCGAAATTGTATAATTACTAAAAGCCTAAGTAATTAAGATTAGATAAATCTGCAAATCCTCTCGTGTCTCTCTTGTTATTGTGCCTAGCATTATCGTTAATTCAGCAAAGATGATAACTATTAAGTAACCCCAAAACATTCTCTATCTTGGTCATTGTCAATCTGCACACGTAACGCCAAGAAAATCGAGTGCTACCAGGGTTTTGACCTCGAAATAGCCACTAAATCAATCAGTCCAAAGAAAATTGGCTGGGAAGTTTCGTGGTAAATCAAGCAATAATAATTAAGAAGAGACTAAATTTGGGCAGTTAATAATAATAAAAAATTTAAGTTTTTAAAACTTATTACGCTCATAAAATATTAAAAATTATTTTTGTTTTGAGCATTAATAAAAATTGTTACACAGGAATCTATAAAATATTTTCACTTTTAGGGTTGTATTTTACTCAGAATCTATTTCTTTGTCATCTTAAATCACGAATGCATACCTTTGTTTAAAAAAAATTCATACTTTTGAGAATAAAAATTCGATTCTCGACACTTGATATATTGATCTTAAAACAAAATTAATTCAGAATTACATAGTTTTACAACATAAAATCGTTATTAAAGTCAAATTAACGAAGATAAACAACGCATAATACACGATATTAACTTTAAAAAGAAGGATTTGAAAGAAAAAAAACAACGTAAAANCACGTTCTCTTGCAGTACTTTGTTTAAAAATATTTTAAAAAACTTCAAAGAATTTCAATATAAAAAAAGTATAAATTATACTATACAAACGGCAAAAATTCCTAGAAAATATTGAAATTACTGAATGCATAGATATGCTAATAAATATGCTATTAATTACAAAAAATGGATATATTTTTTGTATAAAATGAAAATATCGTTAATATGTACTGTACAGTACATATATTTATTAATTATCTTCATGTTAATATAACTATAGTATCGTTACAGATAAACATATTAAGTGTGTTGACTTTTAGTAGATTTTATCGTAAGTGCTTACGAATAAGCAAATAATACATATTTTATATTTTCACCCACATAAAGAAGTAACTGTTCTTAGATACAAACAGTCGTTACAGTACTTACAAGAGTAGAAATGGCCAGATCGAACGTTATAACTGCACAGAAATTAACACTGTTAATTATTACCGTTGTAACATTTTGTTAGTTCTTCGAACATTTTAATCGTGTAAGAAGTATTTTCTTTATCTTTTTTCTTTTTCCTTTAAAGAAGCGTGTTAATTGACTGTTTAATCTCTTGTAAATCCTTCTCTTGTGTTTAAATCTTTAAAATACACTGAAAATCAATTTAAGTAATAAACAGCAGGTTAAGAATTAAAATTAAAAAAAAACAACATAAAATAAATAAAATGATCTAATTAAATTATTAAATCTTTTTTTTTAAATGAAAAAATGGTTATTGTTAAAGTACACGAACATTAAAAATAATGTAAACATTTTCAGTATAAAATTTTAAAAACAGAAAATATTTAGAAATAAAAGTGTTTGTTTTATTATTATTATAAAGAATATATGAAATTAAATATTATTTTTTTAAATTGATAATTATATTTAAACTAATTTTTCTGATCTTCCTGCTCTTCTCTAAAAAAGAGCAGAAAGAGTAATTTTAATTTCATATTTTGAAGAAAAGCAGAAAAGAAGAGCAGAAAGAGCAAAAAAGAAAAGTTTAGGAATAATTTTAAATATCATTTAGGATATAATTTAAATTAAGTAATAGTAATTTAATGTAATCCTCTTCCTTCTCTTCTCTAAAGAGGATTACATGAATGAAACTATTCATAAGATTATGGTAGAAACTATATTTTAATATAATTTACATATAAACGATATTTATCTAAATAGTAAAAAAATATTAAAAATAAATATTTTCTTATTTTAATTTGTTCATCATCATTATATCAATGTTACTACAGTAGCATTAAAGAAACATTGTAACCGATAACTGTTCGTTTCTAATAGATTTTATCATATTTTCTTGCTTGAAACGTAATAAAATATTCCTTTTCTTTTTGGTTCAAACTTGAGAAAAATTAGGTTTTATATAGATTAAATATTTATATAACATTTTAGATAAAATTTTGAATAAATCTAATAATTAAACTATGAAACGAAACGAATAGAATGCATAGATAACAACGAAAACGTATAATCTAGTTTTAATCTTTCCTATTTAAAATTAATAAATCAAGTAAATATACCAAAACGACTGAATAAATAAGTGAATGTACTTTAAGAATTTAATACACAATATAATTAGAATTGCTGAAGGTTTTAAAATTTATCAGGATTACGATTTAAATTTATGTTTGATATAAGTTATACATAAATAGTACCTATGTAAATAGTAAAAATATGTATAGAAAATGGATGTTTTAGTATTTCTAGGAAGAAAATTGATTCGTTTTAAGCCTTAATTCGCTTTATATGAATAAAATTCATTTGGTTCAAACCTTTAAGTTCTGTTCGAGGTAAAAAATTTTGTTTAAGCCTTAAAACGTTTCTTCCTTCATTAGTTTAAAGCCTTAATTCCTTTTCTAAACATTGGAATTATTTTAAGCCTTAAATCTATTTTTCTAAGCAAAAAATTCATTAGTTTTAAGCTCCGGAGGCAAAGAAATTTAAGACTTAATTTAGTTTAAATTTCTGTGACTTAAAAAATTCTCTTCTTCGAAAAAAAATTAAGGCAAAAGGAGTGAAAATTCATTCCATTTTTAAATCACAGAAGATATAAATCTGTGCATTGAAAATACGATTGAAACAACTGTAGATGAGCCATTGCTGAAAAAAATAGAAAAAAAAATATATCGAAATTATTTACTTTACTTGGATTTTTCTCTGTTAGCCACACAGAAAATAAAGAAAGCAAACAGATAAACAAGCGAATTAACTTCAGATATATAAATACGTTTATTTTTCCTCATTTATTTTCTTTTTATCCTTTAACAAAATGTAAAAGTTAACGAAGACATTGTTCTTGTCAAAACAATTCGCTTAATTACTTAGATTTAAAAGAAATAAGGATTGAATTTCTATTTTTTGCTTTCCATGTTTTTGGCAAGAGGACAAAATACACTCAGTAGTTTGTAGTTTTAAGATTAATGAAATTTTAGCCATTATAAGCGAAATATCATTAATATTGACTTTATGAGAATTTAATGATAATGATATATGAAGTAATTAATGTGTAACAGGCATTACAAATTTCAATTGTTTCGATTAAATGAATCGTTGATGATGATAGTTAACAAATACTAGACAAATTGTTGTTAGACATTATAAATATATACGTATAAAATACGAATTTATATCCTTATTTAATTTAAAATATTCGGTTTATTTTGATTATTGAACTGTTTCGTTAGCAACTGAACTGAAACTGTAAGCTTTTCTCTATAGCAAGTCATGCGTAACCATTAATATGCAGTCTCGCTTCAACAAGAACGTTTGCCTGTTTGCATCCATTTCCATTGTTTTGGAAGATTAATTTCATTTTTATGAACATTAATATACCATAATCTTTAAGAAATAACGGAAAGTTTTTTAAATAAATATTAAAAAAAAAACATGCAATAAATACATTCGAGGTATTTCAATCGTTGTATTGATATTTTTTACTTTTGCATTTTTTGATGTTTCTAAAAATATAACGGGTTCGAGACAATTTTTTTGATATTCTTTGAGGCAATAAAGAACCTGAACCTGAACCTGCATGGAAGTTTATTTAAAGAATTTACTAAGAGCTCTAACCTGTTAAAATAGTAATGTTATTGGATGAGTTTGTCTCGACATGCATTTGATTTACTAGATTTGGATTATAAAAAAACAAGATCGATTAGATTAATGTTTTACTAAAAGTACACGATAATATCATTTTAAAAGTTATTAATAGAAAAAAAAACACTTTATAATTTGTGTTTTAAAATATAAGCTTTTATTGTATATTTTATAATATAATATATATGTATATAAGAGATAAATCTCGATATGTAGAATAAATAAGTTATATAAGTTTGAAATATAAATGAAAATATATTTTATACTTTAATTACATTGTAAAATCGATAAATTTAAAGATTATTTTTAAACCAATTAGGAAAATGCTTATTTAATCAAGTATATTCGATCATATACGGCAAGGACGTTTCTCGATTTTATTGCTTTCCTGTTGCTAAATTAAGAACAAATGATTGTATTTATATAAATAAACAGGATAATATCCTTCTTAATTTAGTGACGAAAGGCTGTTAAACTCAAGAAAGTATTTAACGAGTGATCCTATACCAAAAGATAAAAATGGAATAATAATTTATGAGATGAAAATTGCAAATATAAAGCATATAACATCCCATATAGTACCAAGTGGTCCATAACAAAAATGGCATGGACCACTTGTTACGTGTTGAATTAATTTTATATTTGAAATTTTAATTTTTACAAATATTACATGAGAAAACTTATCAAGTAATGCTGACAGAAGCACGTCTTGTATGAATTTTTTACTAAAATTTAAAAAGACAAGACGTTATATTTTTAAAATGACTGCAATAAAAGATTTTAAATCAAATTTACTCAGAATAAAGATCATATTAATTACAAAAAATGGATATATTTTTTGTATAAAATGAAAATATCGTTAATATGTACTGTACAGTACATGTTTTATAAGTTTTAAATTAAAATTCATGCTTATTTATCTTTAAAATATAATTCTAATTATAATAACTTAGAAATGATTAGATTAAAAAGAAAATTTAAAAAAATTTAACTTAAAAGATCCAAGAAACTTTCAGCTAAAGATAACTTAATGTGCTTGCTATCTAAAGTTATGTAACTCTCTTTAAAAATTAAAAGTA